TGCGTGCTGTACATGTTCCCTGTCGTGCTGTTTATCACCGCTGGGAGCTGGATCAAGGGTATCATTTTGCTGCGCTGTGTAACACTGGTTTATGAGATGATAAAATTATTGGTTGCGAGACTAACCTGGTATTTGTACTCGGCGTTGCCGTCATCTCTGTACCTTGGGAGCCACCTTTTGGAAACTATTAATAATTACACTCTTTACCTTTTCTCCTTGGGGAACCAATCTATGGGGGAGGCAGGGAGACACTTTCCCCCACTCCTTTACCTTCCCTTTCTCCTTCAGGCTAGTTACAACAGCTCTTGAGAATTTTGAATATCTTTGGGATGTTCAAACCAGCATGGTCCTGTTGCTATGTCTCCTGAATGTGGTTCAGGTCTTGTTTAAGGTTAAACAATTATTTATGAATACCATCCAGAGATGTACCCCCACGACAGGCACCGTGGCTACTCCAACCCCGGCAGGCAGCTGGGCAGGGCAGGGCAACTGAATGTCAGCGGGGACTGGCTAAATTGCCAATCGTTCAGCAACTGAGAAACAAATTGAAATTGGAACCAACTACAGTGGAATCGTGGGAATAAACCTCCCCTTCAGTGGGAAAACATATAAAAATAGCTGGAATTGTAGGCTGTTTCAAGAATCGCTCTTCTATTCTTTTCTGTCATTAGGAAATTGAGCATACTAAATTTGAAAACAGAAAGCACTGTTTCTTCAGCCTGAACTGACAAAGGAAACCGCCTGGACACCCAGTGTAGCTACTACAAAGGTCAACACTTATTGCCAATCCTACTCCCCAGTTCAGCCCCACGCTAGGTGCAGACGATAGCTATGCTATTGAATGCAAGTCCTAAACGGTTGGGATAGTCTACCAAATTAAACCTCTCTCCCAGCGTCCGACGCTGTAGAAAAGTGGTGACAAAACTCTTCTTTCCCATATTACAATGATAGATTCCAGGAAATGAGTCACCTGTTGTGGATTTCTTACAAAAAAACCTGGAAACTGAAGCTTTGGCTCATTTTAAGAATTCAAGTTGTATTAAGATGCAGGTTTATCCAAATCTTTATAGACCAGCCAAGAATATCAATATTCTTGATAAACAAGCCAGATTACAGAGGCCCCAGTCAAGTTCACCTGGACAGAGAAGGTGATAGTTATTGTTCAGTAATACGTTTTTGTTAGAGAATGTTTTAATACAAAATAGTTTAATATTTTGATGAATGCTGGGGAGTTCTGACACGAATTAGACAGTTGATGAACAGCATAGACACTCTCTGGGCAAATCCCTGCTGGCTGTACTATTTTGAGAGGTGGGTTGCATTGTCAAGATTTCCCAGACAAGTGTAGAAGTGGAACAATAGCGTTGGAGATTATCCAGACCTGTTGTTTCCATTCAGCTGATTATTTCTCTGTTTCTGTGGTAACTTCGGTATTTGTTCCTGGTTCCCTTACTGTATTGTATTTTTCTGGTGGACAGAGGTCTGCTTGAAAGTCACAGGCAAAGCGTGGCAAAAACCCCTCTACATTATCTATTTGTAGCTGGGAAACAACATACCAATTTACCTAATATTCTAAATTCTGATTGTTGGGTTTGAACTAAAATAAAAAATGCTGACTTAGGACTATAAGCCAGTAAGAACCTTCCTATTAGTAAAACAAAATAAGTAGTTTGCTTTTGTTCACTTTGACAATGCAGTATGTAGTGTAAACAACACAATTTTAACTGAAAGTTCTTTTGAGAGCTTGCTTTGTGTTGACAGTTTAATGCCTGAAGTACAGTGCCAGGAAACGTAATGCTTGGTTTTGTTTGTTTGTTTTTTTAATTTAAGGCACGTGATAAACTTAAATCACCAGATGTTACCTACAGTTTTCCAGGAGATTCGAGAGAAGCTGTAAAAGTTAAGGAATCCACTGAGGGAGCTGATGATTCTGAAGAAACTCCAAAATTTCCACTAGGTAATTTTCTGGGAAAGTGCAATGCTGAGTGTGCAATGTGATACTATTTTCAAATTATGGAAGAGTCCACTCATACCAAGATTTTAAGAACTCGGCTGGGTAAGGCTGCGAGTAAACCATCCTAGCTTTGAAGTTAGCCCCGCTGTGAGCGGGGTATTTGCACTAGGTGGCCTGCAGAAATGCCTTCCAACCTGAGCTGTTTCATTATGCAGTGATGTTATAAGTTATCTCCAACGGGAGGAGAAATACAGGAGTCTAACGGCAGTTTTCATCTTTCAATTTACTGTGCTTCTGCCACCATTACTGTTAAGAACAGTATGTTCCCTGTAAGCAACTATGAATCATTTACTTTAAAAGTTATGCTTTCTCTCCCTGTGTGGCCATTATAGATTTAATTCATAATTGTACAACATTTCTTGATAGCAATCAAATGTTTCTGAGGGAACCAACCTTAAACTGTTAAGATTCATTCAAGCCAAATTGTCAGACCGCCAAACTGAATCTTTTTGCCTTTGGTTCAGATTTTTGTTACTCATTTTAACTTTTTCAATTTTACATTTTTGTTTTTGAGTGGGATTGTGACACTTACCAACTTACAATACCAAGGAGAGCTCTTTTAAGTAGTCTCGAGCTTTACCCAAGTTATGTAGTGCAAATTGTCTGAATTGTTTTGTAGATGGTTATTTACTGGAGAGCGTGACCAAGCCAGTGCTCTCACAGGGAGGAGAAAAAAAGGAATCACTGGTTGTGATGGAGGTGCTCTCGGTATGTTTGTCTTGCAGCTAAAGCACAAGGGTGCTGACCTGTTCAGGAACACAGGAAGATTCTTAGGTGATACGAAGCATGTATATGTGTGTATGTGTGTATACATGCACACACGCACATAGGTAGGTATTTATGTACACACACATATCTATGTATATAGGATATACATAGGTGATCTTCAAAAACAGGTTGCATCTCAGTGGGATTTGCTCTCTTAGGAGTTTGTGAAAAATTTGTAACTTAATATTCTAAGGTCACTTCCAAGAATATAATTCCAACTTTGGGAAGTAATAGTCTGCGCTGTCTTCAGTTACATTTTTCCTGTGTCTAGTACTTGTTCTTTGTATGCATTCATGCTGAAAGTTTTCGTATCACAGACACTTGAGCTGGATACTTTTAGCCTTGGTAGTACCTTTGGGGCCTACTTGCTCCTTGCTTTTTCATTTGATGGCCATTAACAGATGAAGTGGTTGTAGGACCCCCTGTTCTTTTAAAATGAGTTAGTGTCTTTCACATTAGGAAACAAAGAATAAATTGTATCACTGACCTTTTAAATATCTTCCCCCCCCCCCCTTTTATCCCTTCTGTCCTTGTGCTGAGGTTTTGTTACATTTGTTTGAACTCTTCTCTCCCTTCCACCCTCAGAAGTATGCGGGTATACTTGCTTTCTTCTCTTCTCCCAGCCTGCTTTTACTCCTCTTCTTTTTGCACAGTTGTGCCACCTTGCAATGCCGCTAAAGACACACTAAACTGTGTCTATCCTGCAGTGGCTGTTTTCCTGTTTCAGGAGGAAGGCACATTCCTAGCAAATATTCTGTCTGCAAGACTTAATCCTGTGCTTGAGAGACAGGAGATCTGGGAGCTCAGGAGTCAAGACTTCTCGGCACTGAGTGCAGCCCTTCTTCTGTGCTGTCCAAGTGCCTGCTCAGCTGGTGCTGAGCATCACTAAACTATGTCTATCCTGCAGTGGCTGTTTTCCTGTTTCAGGAGGAAGGCACATTCCTAGCAAATATTCTGTCTGCAAGACTTAATCCTGTGCTTGAGAGACAGGAGATCTGGGAGCTCAGGAGTCAAGACTTCTCGGCACTGAGTGCAGCCCTTCTTCTGTGCTGTCCAAGTGCCTGCTCAGCTGGTGCTGAGCATTCCCATGCCCTTTAAATGCCAAAGAAGAGACAGGTCTACAAAACGTTTAGCTCCTTGGAAATCTTCATCCTTGTGGAACTGGCATCTTGTGGCAGCATAGCTGTCCAGAGAGGCTACTGAGAAAGTTTGTCACAGTTTATCCTCCGGTATCACCTTTTCAAAAAGTGGTTTTGGGTGGTGGCAAAAATCAAGGAGAATCTGTACTGGGAATCATCTTCTTCCAGACCCCTTTCTCACACAGAACTGAGGACTGGCCTCCAGACCAGCCTGTTGTTGCCTGCTTCCAAAACACGGGCTCCCAACTCAAGGTTCATCTCGGATAATGGGATCATATCCTCTGCTTGACTTGCTTCCTCTTGGTGCCAGATACGACTCTGGGAAGGGAAACAGCAAGAACTTTTCACTAACAGTCCGTGAGTGACTCTAAGTGGCAGAAGAGCTGCTCTTCTCTCACCTCGGTTGGTCCCTGACCCCCACAGCCCACCAGACCTGTGCTCAGATCCCGGCTCCATGTTCTCACTCATAGGGTTGCGTTACTGAGGAACAGGACAGCTTGCCTGTCTCAACCCGAGCATGGGGACAAATCCCATACCTAGGGAGTATCGGCTGCCTCGGCAACATGGCCCTTGCACGAACCCAGTTCTCGGAGTTGGGAAAAGGAAGAACTTTCTTTCCTTCGTTTTTCATTCCCTCCAGTCTGGCATACATTTCTCTTGCCTCAGATACACAGTGGATTTATTATCTTTTGCTATTTCCCCTTCACCTTGAGACCCAAGATTTCAGTTTGTAGACCCCTTAAAGTTTTCCACTGTATAATGAATTCAAATTTAATGGTCGTTGCCTTAATTTTCTTAATTTCACTTTGGTGAGCCCCTTACATATGTACATATGTAAGTTTACAGAATAAGCTTGCAAAATCATTCGTAGTTTACAGAATAAGCTTGCAAAATCATTCCTCCTGTATTTTGACCGCCCACCTTGTTGCGGTATGGAGAGATCAGAAGGGGGAATTTCATAGTAAAGGTCATGCTCAACATCTTGGAGTGCAAGTGACCTTTCCAGCATTCTTGGAGAACGCTTCCCTTTCCGGATGCCTGCAGGGCAGCTACTTCAGAAGTTGCTCTCGTGTTTGCACCGAGCTGTGTGTATGGCGCGGATAAGAAGGACGCGGCATCTGCTGGAGTGGTCCCGGTTGCTTGTATTTTGAGAAGATTCTGAAGTAATCGTCCACATGGAAAAGAATGTTGCTTAGTCGCCCACAGTGTGAGTGTACATATAGGCAAGTTCTCGGAGGAGAAAAACGGTTACGTACCAGTAACTGTAATTCTTTGAGCTGCGTTGTCTATTTGTACGTTCACTATCCACCCTCCTTCCCTTCTCTTCTCAGTATCTTTTCAGGTTCATGGGTTAAGTGACACTGAGGGTCCTATGATCACATCTGCAGGTACTGCTAAGACACAAACATCTCCAGCTCGAGTGTTTGTGGTACGGACAGCAACAGTGTAAATTTACATACACCCAACACGTTTCAAAGAACTGCTTTCTGGTAATTAGCTTTCCTTAATCATCGTCTTGGTGATGGGGGTAGGTATTTGGCATGCAGCGTGTGTTTTTTGCTCCCCCCCGCCCGCCACCTTTTAATAGGACAGCTATAGCGTGAGGATTTTTTCCAGCAGTTTTAACTCTGACCTCTCACAGTGCCTCTAAGAACTTTTATCCATCACAGAAAGACATTCTTTGGAGTGTCAAGACTTCCAGCAGTCATATTTCAGGGAAATGCAAATTCTTCAGCTTGACCTTTGTTTTACATTTCTGTCCTGGTTTGTTTTCCATACTTTGAATAACATTTCCTCTCCCTTGCTTTTCTCCCTACCTTTTCACAATTACGTGTCTTGGAATTTTCTGTACTAAAGAAAGCAGCAATGTTGAAGAGCTAAACGTATATTACTTGCTCTAACTTCAAAAAACCATTGAGTGGTGTTCACCCTGCGCTGGCTTCGGTGGAGCTAGCTTTGCCATCTGTCCGGTAGAGACCAAGGAGAGTACTCGTACCTTAATAGTCATGCAAGTTATTTCTCAGCATTACAGCAAAAATCCATAGTCCAGCACTGTAGAATTATACTCAGCTACATTCAGTTCCGTGTATCAACTTGGATATTTTGGATAGACTCAAACCGACCGAACACAGTAAAATCTGTATTTCACTACCTGTATTTTCAGGCATATTATAAAACAGTCAAAAGCCTCTTCAGTTTTAATAAATGTATAGTAGGAGCAGCAACTTACCTTACTCGGGAGTAGTTGTAGGTCAAGTCGAGTCTTAGTAAAGTTCTGCAAACATACCCTGCTCTGCAGTCCGGTGACTGGAGGGGCTTTGCCTCCGACGTCGGTAGCCGTGATGCCACCTCAGACACCATGGAGTTCGGCGGGATGCAAGGCAAAACTAACCTTGGTACCTGCGGAGATAGGAAAGGCGCAGCTGGAATCAGTACAGGGTTCCTTTGTCAGCACAGGCAGCATTTGTCCAAGAAAAAAGCAAGAGGTGAACAGGGTATCGTGTAGGACTGACCTTGCACAAGGTGAAGGACTTGATAGGAAGACACCAGAAGTTGCCCGGGCCTTGTTTGCGCCATGGCTGCCCGGAGCTCCCCTGGCACCCAGCAGCCAGCCCCTCTGGGGCTCTGAGCCCCGCCAGGGTCAGAAGCCTGCTGGGTTCCCACGGTGTCCTCACGCTGGGGCAGGGCTGGTTCTGGGGAAGGGTAACTGAGCTGTGTCGGTGTAATGCTTTGCACCTCTTGAGCTTCGCTTCACTTCCCCCCCCCCATACAAGTTCACTTAAATACGGTGTTTTCCGATCCTTTTCTCTGAAGCTGAAAGCTGAACCAGTACACTTGTACTTAGAGTTGGCTAAAGTGCACCTAATTAGGTGCCGATTACCGGCTCGCCTTGCCAAGATGGAAATTGAAGGTACGATCTTGGTATGAACTGACTGTTGGAACACTGAATATGAAGTCACGTTCCAAGCATTTGACGATTTATAATTCATTGCAGGAGAGGTACTTACGATGTAAAGCATTATTTAATTGCTTTCATAGTGCAAATACAACATCTATGTTTTTTGAAAAAAAGTTTTATTAATAAGAAGGGGAGAAATGTGATTTTTTTTTTTATGTTTTCCGTTTCTTCAGAAGAGACATCTGGATATTGGAAGAAACGCCGATTTATTTTTTATTTTATTTTATATATTTCTATTCTTTCTAATTGTTTTCTGTGTAAAATTGCTGCTTAGAGGAATCTCGGAAATCTGCGAGGGAAGACTTAAAACCGGTACGGCCATTACAAAAAGGAACGGAAAGCTTACCTCGGCCGTCTTGTACCAAAGGGAAAGACGACAGTAAGAAAAGGTCAGCTGGAAAATGTTCAGAAAACGCAGTGCAAAAAGCTGGGATGAAAGGACCTGTAAGTTTTTAAAACAAACAAGAAAAACCCCCAAACTTAAAACTAGAATGCAAAAAGACAGGATTATATTTAGGATACGTTATTTAAGACAGTATTACATTTAAATACATATTTTCTATTATTGTAATCAGGTGGTTTTGGTTTGGGCTTTTTTTTTTGTTTAAACCAGCGTGCAAACACTGTTTTATGGTTTTTGCTGGTTTAATTTGCATAAAGTTCAGATCATCGTTCCAGTTTTAAAATAGAATTCAGTATTCAGCCTTTGTCCTGTGATGATTTCTTAATAGACGGCTTGAAACTTCAACTTGGATTTTTTTTCAGCTAGTAATTTTGGAGGCAAATATGATGTAAATGCTTTTCTCTCACAAATACGTAACAAGCATACCAAAAATTAATTTCAAAATCTATTTAAAAAAAAAAAAATTCCAGAATTTATCAGAACTTGAAGAACAGCAGCTGAAGCAACGAGAGGACTACCTAAAGAAAAAACGAGATATGCTGATGGCTACGAAGAAGGAGTCAAGAAATAACGTATTGTTACCGACGAACACTGACCAGAAAGAAGAGGAACCATCTCCTGCAGAGGTGAGGGACTCAAACGTTCTAATCATCCTGACCGCTTTGTAAAAGCACAGATGATTTCAGTGAAGATGTAAATGTTGCTGCTGAATAGTGTAGCAGGATAAAAGCAACAAGTGGGGGAAGTAGAGAGGACGTATTTTCAAGTTACCGTTTTTGCAGAAGCTTATGGGCTAGAAGTTTCAGTGATGAAGTTAGCATTGTTTTGCTTCAGTATCATCAGATCCTCATGATAAATTTGAGTTTAAGAACGGCTAGAACGCTGGTTTTCTCCTAATTGTGACCTACTGTTTGGGCTGCCTTACATCCCTGGGATTCCCCCCCCTGCCCCCAGCTGAAACGGGAAAAACATTTTTCTTTTGCAAAGTCTTATTTTACAGAGGTACCAAACGCGCTCTGTTCTTTCGATCTCTTTGGAGAGTTTTGTGCCCATTTCAAATGAAGAAATCCTCGATTTCTATCCATCAGCCGAAGCGACATGCTGATGATACAGTTTAGAAAGACAAGGCACTCTGAAGGCTGGGTGCTGCTCTCCTCTATCCAGTTGCCTCCAGTAGAAAAAAAACAAGTCTGTGGGAGGGTTGGGAGCACAGGACAGAACAAGAACGGTGCGATATCGGAAGAGGTACAACTGGCAGGCAGCCCATTCTTCAAGGTCTTTTTTTGTCCGAAGGCTGTTCTCCGTCCCGAGACGTGAGTGCAGTTACGTAGTGAATTAACCGATACAGTCCTGGACTTTAAAACAAGCAGTAAAATCACAAAAATCCTCGCACCGTGGGGATGACAGAAAATCTGCTTTGGGGGAAAAAAGTAGTACATCTTATCAGGGAAAGAAAGTACGGACATAAAACCCCCAGAATCCTATGACAGGATAAAGCCCTACCACTCTAGAGGTCTTTATCAGAAAAAAGCCCCCATTTTTTCTTGTTAATCATTGTTATGGTTAGTGTGACTTCATGCGTTTACCACAAATAGATCTGATCTACATTCATATGAAAAGAAATGCTTGAAAACACCCAACACAAATGAGGAAACTAGTGGAAGACCTTAAAACCCACACAAAACAATGGGGTAACACGTTAAAAAAAAAAAATTACTACTCTTTTTTACAGAGCATCTGCTTAAAACCAGAGACCTTCTGTTGCCTCAGGTATTTCTCAAGAGTTGCTGAGCATTTTATTACGCTCAGAATGTGCCCAAAATACTGTTGACTGGGGAACTTCCAGCACCACAAAGCAGCGCCAGTTGAATTTGAGGTTAGTCCTCTCAAAACGATCGGCGCAGTGCCGTGGTAAAAAGGCAGACTGACGTAAAGAGCCAGTCATCCACGTCCTGGGATCCGCTTCTCAAGAAATGGAATAAGAGCTTTTTTTGGGGTTGTTTTTTTTTTTTTTCAATCATTCTGGATGGCCAGCGAGTTTGAAGGACTGCTGCTGCCGCCGCAGCCGCGGGTTGGCAAGTGGTTATTGGCTGCTCCTGTTAGAGAAACTGTGTGTCAGGTACCTGATCGGGCTCACGCGTCTGGGTAGCGTTCAGCGTCAGAAGTCAGGGTCCCGACAGGAAAGCCATGCAGTTTACTGCAGTGTTTTTTCACTTTGTTTTTAGGAAATGTCAGAAGAGAAGCAAAGATTACTACAGAAGAGGAAGATGCTTGCAGAAAAACTGAAAGAGGAAGTTATTAATAAGCGGTAATTTTAAGAGGCTCATTCAGAACCCAAAAGTATGTTTTTAGAATAAATTATATAAATAATAATTGAATGGATTAGTTTTCCAATACTATGCTTAGTTTTATAGAACTTTCAGACAAGCAACTCGGTACTTTATATATAAATATTTAAAACTACACTGATCGACACTACACACGCTTATTTTCCAGAATGCTGGAAACTCGCCGACTTTCACTGGACCGTGTTCACGGCGAGGCCATGTAACAGCACTGCAGCATACAGATGTTTTGAACTACTGGCCTCAGCCACTTGGCGTCACGTAGAACAAAAGCAGATATGGCGACCTGTTAAAATAATTCCTTTGTGAACAGTCCTGAATGAGTTAGAAATTTTAACTTTTTTATTTTTAAAATTAGAGACCTTTGTTCCTTTTATTAGAACATTATAAATAAATTACTATTTTTCAGCTGTGCAATGTAATAAAGCCTAATTTCACACGGAAGTGGCAACTCTGACCATCTTATTTTCAAGAAGGATAATATAGCTGGGAGTCGAGACTTTCACCTATTAACTCTGGATTACATCGTTTTACATACTGTTGGGGCACTTTACCAGTGTCCTTAGGTCCAATTTAAGTGCAACTTAAAGTAAAAATAATTGCTTTGGTTGCAGAGCTAGGGGTGTCACGAGCAATTCAGTTTCAAAGTAGAAATCTTTTAAGATCTTGTTTACTGGTTTGGCTTTGACGGATGGAAACCGGAGCAGGGAGGGGAGGCTAGCGTTTGCACCGTCATTACACGGCCGACTGCAACAGTAACTCACAGTAAAAGAAACACAACCCGACCAATTCCGGTTTCGTGTAACTTTTTATTAAAATAGCATTTATAACTGATACATGTTGGCAGATGTTCTGTTCTTTTCCAAAAAGATTGGTAGTGGAAGGACCCCGGGCAGGGGAACACGGCTGCCCGCAGGCAGAGCCCAGGCAGCACCGACCGGGTCAGACTGGGAAACAGCATCCACGGGGGCGACGGCCCGACAAAAGCCAGTTGAAGGGAGCGCTGCCTGTCACCTCCTACAGGGATTTTATTTATTTTTTTTTTAAACGGGACATCTAATGCCACTTTACACAGTCTTTTTCTAGTAACTATAAAAATTCATGACATTCTTGTTTTTGCTGTAAAAAAAACACCTCATGTCGGTCTGAATGTATTTTTAAAGCTCCTGACAGTACTTCAGGGAAGAGTTGGGGTGTTGGGGGACAGAGTAAGAACTAACACGCTTCAGTCGGAGACCCTCGGAGAACTTGTTTTGGGTAGCTGTTAAAGAGAATCGGGACAACTCGGGGCCGCAGACCAGGTGACGCAATTTTTCAGCCTCAGGTTAGTAAAGGCACATACTGCGTAACGCTGCTGCTCGAGTAGCGTGCGTAGCGCTGGATCGTCGTTACCAACGGAGAGAACAGACTCATCGGGAAGAAAACCAGATGGCCGTCAGCGGGCGAGCGAGCGCACGGCGATGAGACTGCAGCTCCACTTTACCAGCGAACACTTCCTCGGATCCTCTGCGTTCGGAGCTGCCGGGGCGTTTCATCGCACAGGTGAGAAATGAGGAGTCCCATTCTTGGTTGCCTGGAGCCCGCAGAGGGCAACACCACTGTCCCCAGGTCCACGCACGTGAACTGTCATCCGTCAGAACGCTTGCGTCTAGCTTACGCGGCGGGAAGAACTCGCGCGTTCCCTCTGGGATTTCATCTAGTGGTATAGAGTTACTTTTAAAACTGCACGGATAACTAATCTTAAAAAATACTCTAAAATGGCCACATTTAAAATTCCGAGTTAACTTACCGTGTACAACAAACCAAACAAAAGCAATAATTATGGAATTACAGGGTCACATTTTAATTCCTGAATTTTACAGTTCAGCATTAATATCACCACATGTATACAAATGGTGTAAAACAAGTACAGTGGTATTTTTAATACAAAATAAACTTCTGTTTTATGGAAAAAACTATACTTCATATCTACACAGACAGCCCATCTTTTTCCAAACAATAGCTAAAATTAAAATTAACTACAAAAATCTCCAAAACAGAGAAACTGCTTCAGTTTAAACTATTCCAGGAGAAATGGACCCATAACACATATTACAAGAGTGATCTATGTGGTGGATTGCAGCTGGTTTTATATTTCAACGTTTCTGACACATTAATTGTCGTTGGGAAATTTCCTCTCGCTTCGTCATGATCTCAGATCACATATGGGCAAACCAACATTAAAATATTTACAGTTCACTTGCTGCTCTTGAAAAGAAAACCTGGCCTGTTTGCCTCCACCAACTCGCCGTCGACTCACCTATTTTTGTCGCGGTTTGCTTACCTACTACGTGGAATGTGCTTTTGTTTTTTTAAAAAAGCAGCTTTCGTATTACACCCAGATTCAGGTGCCGCTTGTTGATTCTGCCTCAGAGACCGGTGTTCTGTTAGGAATAATGCCGTCTTGGTCCAAAGTGACTTTGGTGTTAAAACGCCGCTAAATTCATCGCTATGAAAAACCTGTTAGTGTTTCTTGTTACCACCTCAATTACGCAATTTAAACTCGCAAACAGGAAAATGGCTTGCTGCTCCGCGAAGGCACAGCTCACGTAACACCACAGGGAGTGATTCCAATTCGGTATCTTCCACAGCGTGAAGCCGACAGCTACGCGGGTGCGCCGCGTACAGCACCACTTTGACACGAGCAGCTCCTGGAGATACTTTGGAAGCGATCGCTCCTTGGCATAGAAATTACTGGATGTCTAATCGAAAAAACCACCAAAGCCATCCATTTTGCGTCCCGCTTCCATTTTCTCCTCTTGAAAAATGCAAATTAAAACTTATTTTTTTAACTGTTTTTAAACAACTCAACGTGCACCGTAACTGCAGTGTCCCTCCCTCCAACCATGAGAAATGCGATTTAATTGGTAATAAATGGTCCCAAAATCTGGATTGTTCTTATGCAAACAGAGTTAGTTTTCCCTTAAAATTTTTTTAAAAGAGGCATTGCTAAAAGAACACAACTGACAGCACCATTACAAAATTAAGATTACTGGGTTCAAAATTTAAGCTTGAATTATTTTTTTTTTTTTCCTAGTTCTGTTAAACACCGGGGAAACCCTGCAATATTTTTAAAAAAGTGTTTACCATACCTTTCCCTCCCCCTGCCCTCCCGACACCTGAGACTTTCCTTGCTGAGAAGCCATCATCCAGGTTCTGTGAATACTAACCCACTCTTTTTTTTTAATTTTTCATTTTTTTGACAGCCTGAATGGCAGACTCCTTGCTTACTAGAAAGATATTAAGTTCCTTGGAAGCTTTGTGTTTACAGAACTAACCCTTTCTAGCTGATATACCGAGTTTCTTTTGCTACTCCTTGTATTATCTTATATACTCATGGGAGAAAGCTTTCTGAATCAGACTCTTTTTAGCTCTTAAAACAGTTGCAGCATTTGAAACCCCATAATAAAAGTTTTTATTCCAAAGTTTTGGTTTCGTTTATGAACCCAGACGAGGTCTTTTCCTTGGAGATGTCTCCTCCTCTTCGTCATCATCTTCATCATCAGGATAATCCACTAGGCCAACTAGACTTCCCTGCCAATTTAAAAGAAAAAGAAAAAAGAAAATCTCACATTGAAAAAAAAATACCCAGGAATGTGCAATTTTAGTACATAACCCCCAGCCAACCTGGTGGGGACACACAAGCCTGCGGAAGGTTTCTCGGTGACGGCCTTTTCATTCAAAGACCTGTTTGTCTTGAGAATGTTTTCGAACCTCAAGGTTAGAAAAAGTACTGGAACTTCCTTACTCCTCTGGATCTGGCCTCAGAATTACTTAAAAATCACTTTTTTAAGCTCCCAGCTGGACAGTGACAAAGTCTAACGTGTACACCGCACATCCATTTTGCTGGTAAGTCTTAGGTGTGTGCAATAAAATTTTTGCCACGCTTTTCTGTAGCCTCTCAGGAGCTTGCAGGCTAAAGATTACGTCTTACACAGTCGTGCATGACTTTAACGGAGGTATCGCTTACTGTATTTCATCTGCTTAAAAACACTTATTAATTCCCTGATGGGCGGGGGGCACTAACGTAATTCAGACACCCCCCCCCCCCCCCCCCCCCCCTCTTTCAACCACATGTATATCACACACAGCAGCAACTGGACAGTTAAAGCTGAGGAGTGGGAGCAGTGAAATTGGGCAGAAGATGCGAGATTAAACTGTGCCCACCAGATTACCAACGGACCCCAGTCCCACCTAATGCTTCCTCAAACCTTCCCCCAAACTAGTCATGGTTTAACCTGACAGGGCTTTGGATGAATTTATACGTAAATAAGATGCCCTGCCTAGGGGCTAAGGCTAACCTTACCACATTACAACCGGTAAAGCCTCATTACACCGCTGCGCTGTCCTAAGCGAGGACAGCAGCTTTTGCACAAGTTCTCCCACCTTCGTGGCTGTCACCGCTGTGGTCAGGGTCGCGTTCTTTGAAGAGGAGCCGTTGGAGCTTGCTGGTGACGTCTGAGCTGCCACGGATTTACTGTTTGCACCATTTGCACCATTGGCTGCGCTGGCTGAGTGGGAAAAAGTGAATTTGAATCCCCCAGCTGAAGTCCTTTTTGGAAGATTCTCTTTGTCTTCACTCTCCTTAGCTGAGGGACAAACATTTTCATACTTAAGTATCAGCTGTACACCATGGAGTACAATCCACATCACAGCATAATCACTGGGCAAAACCTGCCTTTTTTTTTTTTTTTTCAAATTCAGTTTAAGTCAACAGCTCACCCACTGACCTCATCCAAAGCACGCCAGCATTCAAACTGAGAATGGCACAGATGCCGTGGACGTGGGGACGTTGCTCACTCGGCACACACAAGTACATAAACAGTTTGGCTTTTGAGTGTCATTTAAACTTCGATGCATGCTTGGAGGAATTTAACTCATTATTTTAATCCTAAACTAGCTTGCAAAGACACGTTAGGAATTGCATTACTCAATTACACGGAATACCCTTACTCCTGCTTATGATACAGAGCGCAAGCAACTGGTTTGTTTACATGACACTCCACATATCTGCCACAGAGCACTTCCAGTGCTGACAAGCTGAAATTGAGTGAATACCTTTTTTAGTTTCCATAAATTTCTCATAGCTATCTGGAAAATCATCCTCCTGTTTTGACTTCTCAACCGGAGGTACAACAGCTTCACCTTCTTCCTCTTCGTCTTCATTGAACCACATTTCTTCATCCTCCTCTAAGGCTCTTGCATCTCTGCGAAATCTATTGCTACGCAATATAGATGGAACACTGTAAGAGACACACGACAAGTGATTCAAGTTTTGTCTGCCGTTTCAGGCTCAGCCAGGGATCAGAAATGGCTTCT